GGCTCTAGTGTTTGTATCACTCTGATCTCTGTTAGCTTAGTGTTTGTTCAGCAGACATTGAGCTCAGAGGTTCCTTGATAAAGCTGATTTTAAAATGGGGTTTGTTGGAGTAAAAGTGATGCACACACACACACAAACAGAAAGAGAGAGAGAGGGAGAAAGAAAGGCTTAGAGGTGCAGCGGAGTTAGCAGAGAAGCTCTTTGAAATATTTAAATGCTGGGAGCGTTTTTAATGTGTGATTGATGGAATAGGGTCAGTGTCAGCGTCGGAGCTACTCCAGCCGTCTCAGAGAGGGCTTCACACCCAGAAAATACTGTATGATGATAGCCGATGTTTTCACGAGAACGTGCTGATATCCTGGATAACTGGCATTATATGACCTGCTTCATAACATATGTTAGTTTTTATCTTACAGTGTATGCATTGCAGAGGAGGGAAATTGGTTTGTTTCTTGTCAACAGAGGTTGGAAGTAACTGATTTTGTTTGTTTGTTTGTTTTTGAGTCAGAAGAGGTCAATGAAGAAGAAATGACCGATCTATACGACTTTGTTACACATACCCGTCTCCTTGTTTTGTTATTTTTAAGATGATCATTTGTGATGTTAACCTTCCTCCTGTGTTGGCTTTTACTGAGCACCCACTATGTTAAGGGTCGGTTTTGACCCGTGTCTTAGATCAGCTGTAAGTTACACTAAAAACAATTCTCTATCATCCAATTTGATTCTCATCTCTAGGTTACCTTGTTAGGCTTCATTATCCATGAAAATATTGCTTGTATTATTTTTTGTTGTGGGCCTCTGGGCCTTTCTATATCAGTTTACCCCTCATACAGATATCTATACTGAACTGATCGCACATGTCTGGACATGCCCGATGTTGTTTTTTGTGCAGGGAAAAACAAGACAAAATGAGAATTTTCTAAATCTCACATGATTTGAAGAGGATCTGATTGTCAGTGTGGTGCCTGACAGGACACTTATGATTTTAGTTTTTGCTCTGATTATTAGATATTGATCTAACCGGGTCAACAGCGACCCTAACACGACAAGTGCCATAATTGTGATAAGAGCATTTTATAATTTAGTCAATTTAAATTATTTTTGTTTTGTTGAATTGAAGGTTCCTGACAAAGTCGAAAAGTCTTGATACAAAATTTAAGCGGTTATTTTAAGCATTTAAAATCTAAAACAGGTCGGTGTAGACCCTAACACAGGAGGAGGGTTAAACTAGAAAAGATTTCAGGTCTGGATTGGGATATTAAATTTTTTGTTTTAGTAGTGCACTATTTCCTCATGTGCACTGTTTTCTTTTACCACATATCACATTTAATGGCATAAAATAGACATAAGCTGCAAAAAGTCGTGAAAAGTCAGTGTTTTCAGTTTTGTATGATTTAAGGTCATCCTGAGTTTCTTTTAAGAACAAATGAAAAATTCCAGTCTTCATTATTGTCTAATTTTGTCTTTTAATGGTATGAATTTGCAGAGGTGGTCCACTGCAGGGAAAAAGAGAAACCCCTCTTTGCCACAGGAAAAGCGGCATGTGTGTTCTGCTCAGGATTGGTAGAAGCCGCATGAAAACCACCAGATTTATGCTCGTCTCTTACAGCGGAGAGATGTTGCCAGAAAAAGATTCATTAATAATGCAGCGAGAGGCTGGAGCCTCACCACTTTAACATGATGAGAAAAAAAAACTACAGCTGTTGGAACAGCATAGTCTTCTCATAAAGCAGAATATGAAGTTTATTCAAGCAGTGCACAGAAAGCAAACGGGTACAGATGTGCTTAGTTTATTGCACATGCAGGGGACATGACTGCGAGCTGGATTTCAGAAAAGAGAAAAGATCAAACGCAGTGAGAAAGTAAGTGGAGCTCATCACAGCTTCACAGATTTTTTTGATCAGTGCAGCTCAGCACAGCCCTCTGCTGGCTATTGAATCAACCAGCAGAATAGTCAGAGGAAAAAAACAGATTGAATAACACCCTACAACCAAGATAAAACTCTCAAAAGCACCAAAAAGTCTCTTTGATTGCCTGTAAACCCAGAGTACCTTAGTGAACAATATCCATGGAGAGAACATGCAAACAGATACAGACAGAAAGACACCAGTTGCGATTTTAAGTTCTTCCTCTGAAGCAGTCAAATAGATCAGTGGTTCTCAAGTCCAGCCCTCGAGGACCACTGTCCTGCATGTTTTGGATGTTTCCCTGCTCCAACACACCTGATTCAAATGATCAGCTCGTTATCAAGCTCTGTAATGGCTTAATAACGAGCTGATCATTTGAATCAGGTGTGTTGGAGCAGGGAAACATCCAAAACATGCAGGACAGTGGGCCTCAAGGGCTGGACTTGGGAACCACTGGTTTAGATAACACATTTGTCATTGACAAGAAGTCATATAGACAGAGAAAACCCATTCTAATTAAAACAAAGGCAAGATTTCAAAGATACAGTACAATTGATAAATGTGTGATTGCACTGAATATTTTAAAATAATAAAAAGCCACCTTGGTTTCATGAATGATTATTCAAAACTGGATGCAGATTATGTTTAATCTGTTAGATATGTGCAAGTAAGACAAAATTTGCAATACAAAGTCGGGTTACGTGAGCCTATGACTTAGACTAAAGGAATGTTGTGCAGTTTGGGGGTTATTTACTCCTTTTTTCAGTTTCTGTTTTTAATGATTTACAATGAAAAAGAAACTAATCAAAAATGTGACCATGGATCAATTTGTATTCATTCCCATAAGCCTGACTCAATCAGTAAAAATGGATAATTATTAAAAAGCTAACATTAGTTTTGATTAAAGATAGAGGGGAAAAAAGAGATCTATTTTAGTCCTGAACCACAAAAACATGTTGTTTATGTCCTAAATTAAACTGTTTTTGTCTTTGGACAAATTGGACCATTATATTTTCCTCCTACTTCCACATGGACAGCTGAATCCTTCTCTATTTTTATCCCACTTTGATGTTTCTGTCAGCCTCCAGCACGTACAAAACAGCTTTCTAAATACTCATTTCTGCTTGTGTCGTAACTTTCCAGCACCACACACTTCTCTCTTTTAGAACTGATTTCTACACTTTACTTAATGCTGTTTAAAATCAGGCTTTTTCTTCTACCTTTCCAACCCTCTCTCTTTGTCAACCATAAAACAGACACTGCACAGGGTTTTTTTTTTTTTTTTCTGGGCTGTTTCCTTTGTGATCAGTGTTTGATCCACGGACATCACAGAACTGCCTGAAGAAATAAGTCAATCAAAGTCACTTTGTGTAATCAAATACCTCTGCAATATACGCTACTTGTGACTTTTTCGGCTACCGTTTTGGTTGTTTTTATCCTGAATTTAGCTGCTCTTTTGTCACATTACTTTCAAGTTTCTGGTGGTCTGGTTACTTCCATATTCTAACTTAATCATTGTGAATCCTGAGGAGCTTGATAGATGATTGAAACATTTTAATGTTTAAACTGAAGATATACATTGACTAGAGTAGTAGATCTTGGTGGCTGATAGTACATTAAGAAGAGACTCAAAGGAGTAAGAACTAAATATCCGTAGCTGTCATATTGTGCAGACAAATAAGAAAGATGAAGTAGTGCTTTGTATGCTGCAGCATTTATGTGACGTTGTTTTCTTTTTCCATCCTTGATTTATTTGCAGTATGTTCAACTCCATCTCACGATCTTTACTGTCCTGTGTACTTTACCTTGTCTTTGTTTGTTGGTTTGAAGTACTGTATTTACACTAAATGTGAGTTTAACTGCAGAACTTTACAAAAAAAGAACTTAAACCCTCCTCAGGCTGTAAAATTGTGATATGAGTGGCTGAAGCTATGGCTGGTTAAGAGAAAATCTCCAACAGGGGCACAAAATCAAATCAGTCAATTAACACTCTTTATCTGATCTTATGTCTAAAAGCCTTTTTTTTTTTTTTTTTTATTATGTTTTATATTGTTCAAAAACAGTTCATCCTCTTTTCACAGTCATTCTGTAACACACATCTAACACCAGTAGAGGTCAGCAGAGTCCTTTGTGTATCAACACGAACAGGCTTAGTCAGTCATTACATAATAGAAATCAAGCATCAACAATGATCACACGAAAAGAGTACAAGACTCTATAAATAAACAGCCACTATAAATAAACTTTATGACCAAAATAAACCGAGGATGCCACAGTCTGTGTATTTATCAGACCAGGCCCAGTGAGCCGTGAGGCACGACTTCAGTCTGGTTTTACCAGTAGAGAGTTTGTACGATCAGTGTATTTTTTTAACAGTTGTAATAGGTTGAACAGTGTTGCTCCTGGATTTCATCACAACTCCCCCCAAGTCCAATCATTTATAAAGAATCAGTGTGTTCAGAAAGATATCAACTACAAGGCAACAGGCGTGGGATTTTCAATCCAATTTTTTGAGTAGCAGAGATGAAGAGTTCAGATTAGACATGAGCAACAAGACTGAGAATTAAAACAGAAGTGTAGCTGCTATTTAATTCTTCAGTGGACACATCCTTTATACATACAACAAGGTGATGTCACTGTGGCTATGTCCTGAACTATATTTTTGTTGTATCTGACACTGAAACTATAGGTCTGTATTTGTTTGCCGGATCTCTTGCTTTGAATCCACCCTGAGGAGGAATATGATGCTTCCAATTTAAAGTAGTTCAGAACTCTATATTATAATCATAAAAGTCTATATTGAACACATTCTCTACATGATGCACTGGGTTATTAAAGCGTTAAAAGCACTAAGAGACTGCAGCAGGAGTTTTTAATCATTCCTAAATGGACTTTATGTCAGAAAAGATCTTTCTGTGGTCTTGCTTGAACCGTTTATCAGCATGTGTTTACTCCTTTATTTTAGTATTTACTGTTTTAATCATTTGTGAAGAAATTTACAAACATCTTAGACTCCTCCCTGGAGGAGAAACTTCTCCCATCAGCTCTCCCCTCCACAGGAAGACTACCTCTCCCTATCCTGTCTGCATCATTCACATTTCAAGCCGATATCAAGAGCTGTAGACGTTGGACTTGTGATCTGTGATTATTTTAAATGTGTATGGTCATATTTGCTCCGGTAAGTTTCCATTTTCTCTCTAGTCTTATCAGTTCTTGATTTAGGGATTCATTTTGTTTGATATGAATTAGTTTAAATCATGTCGACTGTAATATTTCTGAATAACTGATTGTCAGGTTTGTCGTTGTTTCTGTTTGTTGATGCATCATATTAGAAGAAAAGAAAATCAAAAGTGTGAGTGATATAAAGTTAATCTTATTTTACACAAGAACCATGAAGATAAGATGTAGCATCAGACCTGTGTGTCAAATCCCAAGTTGAATCTCCCTGTACTGCTGGGACCACCCTGTAGTGCTCAGTAAGCAGCACCGTTAGTTGTCTTCCGACCTTTAAATTATTCAGGTTTTGTTTTCAAACCTATTGCGTATTTGATAATCAGTCCAGTAATTTATTGATGTGTATGAATTATGCAGTAAGCTGCACTCACAGACTGAAGATAGATTATTTCACTGTCTGTATTGTCAATGCATTTCTCATCCCTTTCCATAGATTTTCGCCATCTGTGCTTTTGCAACATGTGGTGGATACTATGGTCACCTCCAGGTTAAAGTGGACTGTGCAGACAGGAGGAAAAGTAACCTCAGCATCAACATCGACTTTGGCTACCCCTTTAGGTAAAGAAGTTACTTCTCTTTTTAAAACATTAATCCACGTTTGAATCTTGTCTCAGATGTGTAATCATCCCATATCAGCAAATCTTCATTACCTCTGTGATTTAGTAAACACACCTCTGTTCCTCTGATGTGTATATGTGTGCATTTACTTAACAAATACAAAATTAAATCACTCAAATTATCATACATGACGTTTTATCTGATCAATAAATCTCTTTGGATCTATAAATACAGTTTGTAGCATGTACACGTTTTGATATACGTTTTGAAAATTGAATTAACAAACCACTTGACAAAGAGAGAACATTTGAGTGTAGGTGTCAAATGACTCTTCCAGATCAATGAGACATGTCCACAGCGGTGGTGATAATCCTTTATATTTCAGGCAACTGATCAGACAGTCACGCACAAAAAAAACACTTAAAAGCTTCACAGCTCCACTCCACCATGTAGTCAAGCTCAGCAGAGAGAGAAAAGTCTCTTTCTTTTAAAGCTTCACCAATTTAAGGAGTGGAAGCTGGGCGACTGAGCAGGAAGTCATCCCGTCTCTGCGTCAATTATCAAAACTGTACCTCGACTCCTGTCATCTTAGATTCAAAAACCTAAGGTGGTCTCTTTTGATTAGACAGCTCTTTATCATGACATCTTTCTTTGCAGCTTTGAGCTGAAGTGTGATGTTACTCAAGTGTGAAGCTGGAAAGCGGCAGAAAATGCATTTGATGGATGTCTGTTTCATACAGGGACATGCCTGAATATCTAGGTGTAACATAATGCAAACCCCACAGTATTATGATTGTAATGCTCATTTATAGTTTGGCCTTTGAAACATGGAAAAACCCTAAAAAAATACACAGTACAAAACACAAACCCAAGAAATAATAGATTTACAAAGAGCTTAAAGCTGCACAAAGTAAGGGTGGAACAATAAAAGGTACAACCTATGGTACAGGAGGCTCGATTGTGACTAATTGGTGACTGATTAAACAAAACAAAAAAATACTACATGGTCTTAAGAGTCTTGTGAAAACCCTGATGCTTGGGATGAGAAAACAATGACTCAGCTTTGGAGCTGTTTTGAGTCAAAATAGAGCAGTTCGATTAAGAAGAACTATAAAATATTTTCATTAAAGTTTAGGCTGTACAGGGAAATCAACAATGAATTAAATAGTACTTTGGTAGTCAATGATACCACCCACTCTTGTTGAGTATTAAAAATACTTCAATCCAAAAGGTCATCAACCGAAATATGTTGTTTTCTCATTTTTAAAACAACTAGAATATCTGTTGAACCAATTAAAAAAAACCTCCCACCCCCTATTAAAAAAAGACGTTTTTGAGGGATCATTGATTGAGATCAGAAATAGGCAGTTCATGGGTTTGGTAAGTCTACAGGACATGAATGTAAAGCATAAATAATAAATTTACAACCCCGATAAAAAAGTAAAATTTGATGGTTTTAAATTCATTTAAACCCTGCATATTTATCAAATGTAAAAAAAGGCAAGACGGGGACAAGAGAACGCAGAAAAAAGTGTAATCACAAATCTGTCTGTAAACACATCTTATCTCTTAATCCACAAATGCAGGTTAAAACTGTCCCGTACAAAGAGGAAGCAGTATAAACGTGATTCAGCAAACCAAACCCAGGTCTAGTGAAGATGGACAGGGGCAAAGAGGTGAAACTGTCCTATAGACCGCTGTGTACCTCTGTTTTCAGCCTGAACCTTCATTTATTTCCTGAAAGCACTGGCAGCTGAACTGACACATTTTCTGAATACTTTCCTGACTTCGTTTTTTTTTTCTTCCATTCCTGCAAACCTCTATTTCCTCTCTTGTAGATTAAAAGACGTGCACTTCAAGGCTCCTCTGTGTGAGGGAAGAAGAGACGAGATTCTTTTCCTCGATGGTGACTTTTCCGCCGCTTCTCAGTTTTTTCTGACTGTGGGTGTTTTTGCTTTCCTATACTCCCTGCTGGCGACTGTCGTCTATGTCTTCTATCAAAACAAGTACCTGAAGAACAACAGAGGCCCCCTCGTGGTCAGTGAGTTTGTATCATTAAAAATACATGTTTTTCTCATGGTAGTCGGGAGACTGACGTTTCCTTTTTCCCTTTTTTTTTGTTCTGTACAGGATTTTATTGTAACACTCATCTTCTCCCTTATGTGGCTGGTGAGCAGTTGTTGTTGGGCCAAATCTCTCTCCAATATCAAAACAGCCACAAACCCCACACAGGTGCTATTGCTTATTTCAGCCTGCAGAGCACAGGAGAACAAATGTACAGCCACCCAAGAACCTTCCTGGTCACGTCTTAATGCATCTGCGGTAAGTAACCAGCAGAAACATAAAGCACTGAGATACAAAATAAAAACAAAACAAGCTATTTACTTCTGTACCCTTTCCTATGTCCAGGTTTTTGGATTTGTAAATGTCATCCTCTGGGTCGGTAATATCTGGTTTGTCTTCAAAGAGACAGGCTGGTACAAGACAGGTCAGAGATATCCAACCAGGAGTGCTTCTGGGAAACGTTCCAGTGAAATGCGGCAGAGGCTCTACAGTGAGAGCAGCTTTGACTTGCCAGAGGAGAGTTCTGGTTCACAGCTATCTAGGCAAAACAGTTTCAATCTGTCGAAGGGGGATTTCAGTCAGCATGTCTACAGACAGAGTAGCTTCAACCAGACGCAAGTAAGCCTGAGCTTACCACAAGCGTATCTCGGTAAACCCGTGGTTTCCAAAGGGCCGATGATATTTGTCAATGAGATGTGATATTTGACGTATGTTTGATATACAGTAGTAAGTGATGAACTAGATGGATATGTGCTATTGGCATAAACATGTATTAACACATTATTATAAAGTGAAAAGACTTGAAGATTTTGTAGTGCTGTTGTTTGTTGGTCAATATTATTGTTATCAAGACGAAGAATTTTAATGAAATTCAATCAGTGTCTATTTAGTGGGATATAACCATTGTGCTTTCAGTGGCCCCTCAGCCCTTTCAGGCTTGAATGATATCCTGAATTCACCTAAACAGTGACTCACACGAGACTAAATATGATTAAACAGTATTAGTTATACAAGAAACACAATGCTTTATTAAACAAGCCTAAGCTTTGTACATTGCAGTAGCTAGGTTAATACATTGTAGCTTTTCTACTTTTAAATTAGCTGTAGTAAGCTAACAATATAAGGTTAGCTAGTTTTTCTTTTAAAATAAGGTGACCAGTCGTCCCCGTTTTGGATGTCCCCGGAAATGTCCCCGATTTAAGCATTTCATGAATGAAAACAAAAATGTTGCGCGTAAACTAGAACAACGGTTATTACGGTAGCCGAGTAGTTAGAAAGCACAAGTAAGCATGTTGCACGCAGCCCTGGACAACAGTTTTTACAGGGGGTTATCACGGGGGGCGTGTGCAGCTACTAGGTTGTACCTGCTCTCCAGAAATAGAGGGTCTGAAATCACGTTTTGCTCAGCACCCCCCACCCTCTGGATGTTCCCAGATGCCCCCGGATTTCATTACAGAAATCTGGTCACCTTATTTTAAAACCAAGCAGTAATAAACCCGATCAGCCATGATTATCCAGATTAAGTAGCTGACTTATCTGCTCAGTCAGTGTAGTTAAGCTTTGTCAGCTATAGCAGTTTTTTTATTTTCGTATTGACGCAAACAATTCTCTAAACAACAATGTAAAGAACCTTTTATGATATGAAACATTTACAAATGTTAATTGCTGCTAAGATATCTTAACTAAAAAATTTTAACATATAATATTTATCTGACGTTTGAGAAATAGTGTTCTTTTTAAGTAAATTGATGTTGTTTGGAGGAGATGAAATGGAGGGGATTCTGTGATACACAATGATTGTACCTTGTAAAGAAGAAACGGAAATTTCGTGACACCATCTGTTCGTGTGAACATGTTATTTATGGTGAACATATATTTATTTCTCTTACAAACTTGTTTCTTTATTCTTTATGTAACATTACAAACAGAAAGTGACATTCTTTTAAAAAAATTTCTTAATACAAAACGATTATCTCTGTCTGATATTTTGTTTATTATATTGTATGAGTTTATTGTACTTTATGTTAATTTAAAAATATTTTGTATGTATTTTTGAGTCATTCAAAAGTATATGATAACTATTTATTGTACACTTGTCCGTTTGAAGAAGTCTCTTCCTAGAGATGTGTTGCATCTTGAACAAAATATGCATCATTTGGAGAATGCAATGTGGAAATGTTTGTGCTACAGGTCATTCATTCTTTTCTTTTTATACATAATCATGTATATCTGTGCATATGAACACAAAGTTCAAAGTGCATCTGAACTTTAAAGGTAATTGAATTCTTTAGATCACAATGATTATTACATTCAGTTCATTTTACTTTAGATGTCCCTAAATTGTTGCTCTGCAGACATCTCCAGGAGTCTGTATCATCAAAGTGAGCACATGCACTCTCCAGCTACTGTTGTTACCATCCTCTTTATACTCTCTTTAAGTAGACAAAGATGAGAAGAATGAAAATGTGGAAATATAAAAACATGTATATACCAACACAGAGAATTACAAGTGAGCTGTGAATGTTGTAGCGATCCCAGCGCAAACGTTAATGACTGTTCCAGACTGTGTTTTAGGATTATCACAGCTGCAAAGGCTAAAGGGATTATCCCTCTGGGTGTCTGTTTCATCCTGTTAACCTAATGCCAGCTAAGACCTAAAACCTATTAACAGCACAACCATTATGTGTTGATCACTAGTAGATAAGTTTACATACAGTATGTGGATAAATATGGGGCTGTTTGATGTAAAATACAAAAATAGTAAAGTTTAGAATATCTTTATTTCAGATTAAATGTTTTTTTTGGGCCCGATAATGGTGCAAATAATGCTTCATGAGGGCAAATGTAACACATTAAGTAAAGCAAGTGTCTTTCAATGAATAAAATCTGTCTTGAGCACACATAGTGGTTATGATTGTCAATAGACTTTCTTTTCTTCATTGATTTTCACTCATAATTCTCTGTGCTTGTCAGAGTAATGGCATCAACTGTAAAATAGATAAAAACAGATTTCTTAAATGTTTATCTGCCCCACTATTCAATAAAAAAACAAGTCCAATACTTATTTTGGCGACACTATGAATACATTTCCCTCATCTCAACTCCCTGTCATTTCCTGTCAAATAAAAAAGACAAATTTATCACCTTTACTGCCAATTAAGTGGGAATATTTGAGGTTTTGATATTCTTTATAAAAATAATTGCAAAGTAGTAACAGTGATAGAAGTTAAAAAATAAAGCGATGATGTATTATCTCTCTTACTTTCATATCAAATATGAAAGCTTAAAAATATACTGTGTGTCCTTACGTTTGTAATCAAGACCTTTGCAAGTCGCTCCTCCTTTTTCGCTCCAGCTTTAAAACAAAGAGAGGAAGTCAGGCCTTAATCAGCCCCCTGACAGAGACACTAAGCACATGCAGGTGTTTGAGGATGCTTCTTAAAGAAAATTACAGTCAAGTGTGATCATTAGGGTCACACTGTCAGTAGGAAATAAAGGGTTGTATTGTTAAGTGGTCTATCCCGCGTTCAAAAGACTGTATTTATGTGTAATTAATGTCCTGTGAGCTGGAGCGTGTTTTACACATCAGTGTATAACACTAATTAGTGGTTAGGTTTTGTATTGCCCTGCAGCACATCCAGAAGCAACCTTGATTTAATTTCACAAATGGGCTACGATGTAGGGAGCTGTTAAAGCAGCAGGGATATGTTGAAGTTCTTTAGATCCTGCAGGGGGCGTCATCTGCCTGTCTTATCACCTGAAAGCTTTCCAGCAGAGAACCAAGCCTGTGTAAATGAAAGGACCCTGCTTCAACATGCCTTTTCCCCTCTTTATTTTATCCACTGTCTTCAGTTTACTAAAACACAGGTTAGGTTAAACATCAACAAATGTTTGATTACATACTGAAACCACACAGTAGGGGATTTTTGCATCGCAGGTTTCACAATGAAGTAAGAAAACCAGCCTCTAGGGGTGGTAAAGGATCACACCAGCATCACAGGGTGCTCAAGCTTGTCTGCAGACCACAGCTCATGCAGTATGAGAACCTGATTCTATCAGGTCTTTCTAGGTCAGCTACATATAAGCCATGTCCATGCAGTAAAAAAGTAAGGTAGACCCTCTATTGAAATTTCCATACTACACATAGCTCCCAAAATAATGTGGTATGTAGGGGTGTGTGAATGACCGAGAATGTCTATATGTAGATATTTATATATATATATGTCTCCTTATCATTTGATCCTTTGTTTAATGTTTGCATGTATGTAAACATAAAACTCATCACTCTGCTCATAACATTAACATAACATTACTTATATCTAATTCATAGCTTAATTCAATCAGGTCACACAAGTTAAACTGAACATAAATATTTATTTTCTGAAAACGATGGACGACTGAATTACTGAGAGAGTCTCTCAGAGTCACTTGAACTCTCTATTGTCTGCCCTACATTGCAGCTGAGTATCGACCCGTGGAAACCAGACACTGGTGGTGGAGGTCTGAGGCTGCTGAGGAGATGAAGCTGCTGAAACTGAAGTGGAGGTGGAGGCTTACGCAACAATGTGATGAATAATCTGGAGAAAGGGGAGGTAATGCTTTCAAAAGACAGTAGCAATGTGATAGGCTGATAGTGAGGGAGTGTTGATATTGGATTAATATGATCATAGCAAAAATGAGTGAATACGCTATAGTGACACAGTATAGTCTTCCCTATTGAACTTAAACATCTATGTAGCATTTTGAAATAAAGGTAATGAACAATAGAATACCCAGTCGATGTGGCCCCTTACAACAGAACATTGATTACTGCAATCAGGGAATACAGCTTAAATATAAAGTGTATATTCAGTTTGGTTTGGGCACAGAGAGATAAACTGCCATTCCTTGTACTGTTTTACACTTTGCCACCTGATAGTAATAATAACAAAATGAGAATGAGTAGAGCCCCAAACATTTAATAGCAATTTCAGATTTTGTCAGCCTTCAGACTGCTGCGAAGAGTGTGTGTGTGTGTGTGTGTGTGTGTGTGTGTGTCTGTGTGTGTGTGTGTGTGTGAAAAGATCATGCCTTAATTCTCTTTTTTCTAATTTTTTAAGGGGCAGTTATTGCCAAATATTTCAAAGTTTAGAGGTTTATTGTGTCTTCAGACATAACTTCTATTCACCTATACTATATATCTTTTTTAGGGATGTGGGGGATGTACTGCGTAAATAAATATATATATATAGTATCTTAAGTTTTTAGATTTTTAGATTTGTGTTAAAACCAACATCCATCGTTCAAACTTCATAAAAGACTGACAAGTATTTTCTTTTGATGCATGCATTTATTATCTTCTTCATCCTATATTCTTTTTCTTTTTTTCTGTAAATTCATGAAACTTGTGTCACAGTAGACGAGGAAAACACACAGATGCACGTGCAAACACTCATTCAGAGAGCAGGAAAAGTTGTCACATTGAGATTTGGGTTGGTCATCAAATGCTGTACAGTTGGTCGCAGTTTTCTTACACACTCATATATTCTCCCACAAACACACATACATACAAGTGCTGTGCACGACAGCAAGTGCATTTCTTTTATACATATTTATATTTACAGGGGAAATAGAATTCCTCAGTGTGTTCAGTCCAGAGTCCAAAGCCATGAATCCATTTGTGAAAAGTCTTTTTTTTAAAAGCTGGTAACAAAGAGTAAAGAAAATGTCCAGAGACTTGATCATCTTGATCTTGGTTATTGTGATTAAGAGGCAGTAGACACTTCTGTCTTGCTTGTGGAAACTGAGCTCTCGTCCTCCACCATGCCACCCATTCCAACAGTGGTCAGCATGCAGTTACGGAACTGAAAGAGAGCAAAGGCAGCATGTTCAAACACAAGTTCACAGGTGAAGATTGTATGAAGACCAAAAAGCTGAATTAGAAAATAGAAAGTGTACTGTACCTGTTTGTTAAACAGCACATAGATGATAGGGTTGTACAAGGCTGAGCTCTTCGCAAAGAAAGCAGGGATAGCTGCTGTCAAGGCTGAGAAAGACGCTCCCTTGTTGAGGAAAATCCAACCAGCAAAGCTGGCATATGGCACCCAAGCTGTCAGAAAGCCAAAAACCATGAGGACGCACATACGTGTGACTTCCCTTTCAGCCTTCTGGGTAGATTCTGAGTCCTGCTGCTGAGCTGCAGCCTAAAAGTAATAAAATCAAGAAAAAAGATGAGATTGTTACGAGCCAATTTGAAAGAAAAGAAAAAAAAAAGGCAAAAACAAATATTGACTAAAGTGTCACTTACAGCTTTGACAGTCAGCACAAGGCTTCCATATGTGAAGAAAATGGTTCCCACTGGGACAAAGAAGTGAACCGCAAACATGTACATGACATATGATTCATTGTTGAAGCCTGGAGCCAGAGTGTAGTAGTCAGGTCCACAGGAGCACTGCATGCCTTCAGGGAGGTACCTGTGTGAGATCACACAAAACTGCTTTATCTGGCCAATTCAACTCTCCCATGTCCTCAGAAAAATTTAATGGTGCTTTTGAGTGGTTTAGAAATATAAAGTTCCTATCGAAAAGTTTAAAATAAAAATGATTACCTTGACCAGCCAGCCAGTGGGGGGGCAGCACAAGCCATGGCCATGATCCAGGTGAAAAGAACTCCAGCACCTGCATGAGTTCCACTGAACTTGAAGCTTCCCATGGGTTTGCAGACGACAATGTATCTCTCAACGGCAAGGACGACCAGTGACCAGAGGGAAACTTCACCTGTGGAGGAAACATTAACGAGTCATTCATTTGGGTTTTTCTTTCACACTGAGGATTTAATGAAGGAAGAACTTTCTTTTTACCTCCCAGCGTGGCCATGAACCCCTCAAGGGCACAGAAAGTTGGTCCAAGAATGAAGTATCCGTTGACGGCAGATGTAATGGTGATGGTGAATCCGAAAGCGCACATGATGAGTCCGGCCACCGCCAGGTTCACCAGGATGTAGTTTAAAGGTTGCCGTAACTTCTTGTTCTGAGCCGTTACTACCAATGTCAGTCCATTGATGGGAGTTCCAGTGCAGATGAGGAAGAACATGTAGAGAGCCAGCAGCTTAAACATGATGGGATCCGCCAGGTAGTACTGTGGATATTCATAAGGACTTCTAACGATCCCGGTCCTGTTGGACATGGGGATGTAGAAGTTCTTTCCCTCTGTGCCATTGGGCTCAATTCCTCCTTCCCATGCCATCTTCAGTCACCTCCTTTGCTGAGACTCGAAAAGATGAACTGTGTATCCTGTGCCTTGAAGTTACCCAGGAGTTACCAGCTGATACAGCTTATGCTGTCAGAGCCCATGTTTTATACCCTCCAGACGTTATCCTCAAATTGGCAAAATTAGATTACAGGAGGATTTTAAGGAAGTGGAAAGCTCAAGCCTGATTAATAACTGACTTAAAGGCAGCAGGGGATTAAAAACCAAGGGATCAATCACTGTTTGTTTACACAGTGAAGATTTCCCTTGTATTAACCTTAAAAAAAGGTAAGACGAGGTTTGTAAATGGAGGACAATGTTTCACTCAACATGCATGGCTTTTTTTCTGCTTATGGTGATTTTAAAACACTGATTAAAAGAATCACTCCAAAAAAAAAATCTTGGTTATGCTCAAAAACTAGCTTACAAAATTAAATTGTATAGATCAGGCTTGGCAGATTTATTTCAAGACATAATAAATGCAGGAACTATATGTAGTTCTAGTTTAAAGTTACGTGATCTCCTTATTCAACTCCTGCTGAGAAGACTCCCACTACTTTTCTAACCTACAACTTACCGGTCTTCTCCTCAGACTGTTTTTGCTTTCTTACTATCTTTCTTTTTCCCAAGGGAGAGCACTTTTTATGTTACTTTTGGCCAATAAATATGCTAGTTGGTCAGCCAAACCCAGAGCAAAGGGTCAACATCAAGTGCAAGAACCAGGAAGAGAGGGGTAAGTGCCAGTTTATCAAATTAAAAGTCTGTTTGATATGCCTGAGTGGATAAACATAGCATTAATAAAATGGTGGTTCATTCATTTTGTACTTTTCACTCCTACAGCTAAAAATCAAACCTTAATTCACCTCTTCTTTTCACGAGAGGTTATGTAGCCGTGTTTATCTTTACTTGGACACTCACTGCCAGCCTTGGCACTAGACCAAGAGCGATATAGGTCGCCAAGTTTCGCACCTCGTTTCGGGACACTTGAAAGTCATAATGTCAGATGTAAAACTTACCTGACAGATACTCTGCCTCCTGCTAACTTACCACCCTGCTACACCTCAAATCTTACTCCAACACATTCTTACACTCTGGCTCAGACTAACATTCACTGTCTGGCCGGAGTTTCTTACCCACACGTTTTCCGAACATCTCGGCTTTTATTTTGAAGTGTTTCTCCGGATTTATCGAGTTTGAGCGAGGAGGAAGGAGGAGGAATGTCCGCGCGCACAGGTACAGTTATACAGGAAAATTAATTAGAGGGTTAAAATGACAAGAAAGGGTTAATAAAATAGCTCGTGGGTAAAATGTTAGCCTATAACTCAATAGGTCAATTTCAGGAATAGGTACAGTCGTTGATTAATGATGTAAGAGGTTATAATCTTTCATTAGGCTACATAACAGATTCACTGATTTAATTAATTAATGATTCAGTATCAACAAAGCCTTTATTGTGATTATATGGTAGTTTTAAGCAGATAACCCGGACACGGTAAAAAAAAGATTACAGACTTGGGTATAAGACATAGAACAGCATGTTTTACTGCAAAAGTTGAATTATGGTAGGGGGAAAGTAGAATAGTATCTCTGTTCCTTTCAGGGATATATTCATTTCTAACCCTTTAATGCCTGAAACCACAAATTATGGCCAGAAAATTCAAATTTCTTTTTTAGCTGAAATATTTATTTCACTTACTCCTGAAAACCCCCAAAAAATCAAAATCTCCTTAAAAATTAACAAATATATGTATTTTGTGCTCGTTTAGTAATTTGTTGATCATATTGATTTGATAGAAGTATCATAAAAGTATGTATCAAATATAATACAAAAGGCATTATAGGGCTACAAGACACAAATCTTGACTTTTAAAAAAAAATTATATTTAATAAAAAGCTGAATAATTAAAGTCTTGAGAATTAACTATGTTTTATGTTTCATTGTATCTGGAAAAAAATAGAAGTGAATGTCTCTGTCAAATACAAATCACAGCAGAAAGTGTGCAGGAGTTAAGTCAGGGTGAGTCGGTTCATATTCCAAGAACTGAGGTAAGGCGCTGTACTACGGAAATAGTTAAGCACATTATTCAAATCTTTTTAATCTAGAAAATACCTTTTTTTTTTTTTTTTTTAACTTTAGGCACATAGAAACAAAAGTTAAACTCAGTATATACTTAACTTTCATTAAGTGAGAAATACAAAGTGTAATGCAATACTCCCACTTTAGTTCATTCACACTTTTTTTTTTTTTTTTTTGTATGTCATCTAGAACATTTTTTTTAAACTTACAGGCTATTACAGCAGAAACAAAGTGAGTTGTTTAAGCAGTATTATTAAGAGTTTGACTTTAACCACTGTAATCTAGCATGCTCATGACCATGGAGTCGCTGTGCCTGCCAGACCAACATGCACAATCTGTGATCATGAGCATGGCATTTATTTCAACACTAGAGGGAGGCACAACAATCAGGTTCTGACTAACAGAGAACCACTCCATCATTTTCTGTAGCTGTTTACCACAGCATGTGCTGTCACTGCCCCGTCATTTTTATAGGAAAACATCAAGATAAAAAACATTTAGAAGACGTACCTCCTGCAAAGGTTTATAAGTTTTTATTCCAAACATTATTCACAGTTCACATTCACATTTGTTCCTGAGTAGTTTAATGTATCCCATGCAAAAAAAAAAAACGGTTGATATAGATCGCTGTACTTGACCTAAACTTTACCCAAACAGCCCTCTGTAGTATCCAACAGAATGAAGACATTAATTACTCAATAAATTAATATTTTGAGTGACTTTCTTTCTTTGGATGAATATAATTAATTGCCCTTTTCTTCAACAACTTTACTGTAGCAATACAGAATATTTCAGTGATAATCCTGGGCCATTACCGTTCCTACAGAGTAGATACATGATTGAGGTCGCTGCACTCAAGCAGGGTCCAGTATTTGGTTAATCCTTGCTGTGAAGGAAAAGTCTCATCACCAAGCGTTATAGTTTTCAAACATGTTACAGCATAAAATATATCATATTTTGCTTGCTTAAAATTTATGTAATAATAATATTAATAATACATTTTATTTGTATAGCGCTTTTACAGGAGCTCAAAGATGCTTGACAAAAACATAACAGAAATACAGTAAGCAAAGATTAATAGTAACAAGCTAAAAACAAGGTAAAATCGAATAAAAGGAATAAAAGAATACAGGTGGGAGGGGCAGATGTGAGAGGTGGGATAATGGTGAGTCGGGGGGGGTCAGGTAATAAAAGCGAGTGTGAAAAGGTGGGTTTTGAGGGTAGATTTGAAACTAATGAGGTCCGGGCATTCACGGATGTGTTCAGGTAAGGGCGTTCCAGAGGGTGGGGGCGGAGACGCTAAAGGCCAGGTCCCCCAGGGTACGGTGCTTGGTTTTGGCTGGGTGTGAGAGGAGGTTTGCATCAGCTGAGCGTAGGGGGCGGTCCGGGGTATATGCCGCAGAAAAGTAGCTATCTAGTTATCATTTCAGTCAAAATTTGACAAGATTTTAAATAAAATAAAACACTCACATAAAAGAGTCTATTCAAAAACTTGCATAGCACTTAAGTGGGACTATGTCATCAGAGATGGATGTGACATTCAGCTGATTTAAAGTATTTGTTTCATTTTTTTGCATTTTACACAACCGTTAGTTTAGACCAAGTAAACTGATCAGATAAGAGCATCGTGTGCGTACTGATAAAGAGCCTCACAGCACTCTTTATGAATTAAATATATTTCTCTGCTGTAGGTATTCTCAGTACTGCTAATTATCATCACAAACAACAGTCTTTGGCTTGATTAATCAGGCTGTTACTCCTGAATTGCTCATGCACTGAAGCAATAGTCAATAGACTTTTATTCTACTATATGATACATGGGAACATATGTACATAATTCAAAGTAGTGAGTCTAGGTATGTAGACAGAAGTAAGACTGCAGGGAAATATTGATCTGCTGTTTGGCAACAGCACCGCTCCAGTCAAAATGAAATGTATGAGCAAAGCCATATGAATAATTACATACTAAGGAGTGACAATCTGAGGTTGCTTGACCACTATATAATGCTTGTAGACCATGCATGGTTGCAGTAGATATACGTTTGTGCCTACTCCTTATTATTAAAGTCAGTCAAGAGTGTTGTGGATTTATAGAGTCCTGTCCTATAGATGATGACCATGACATTGTGGTTTTAGATAACGCTTCCGTGTCACAGATCCTGCTTTAATCCTCTGGCTTTATGGATGCTTAACATGTTTTTTCAGGCCATGGCTGCAAAGAGGGTCTGCTAGCAGGGGTCAACTCAGGAATCGCCAGTCGAGTAGCGTCAGTTAATTAAAAATGTCACGCATTCCTCGGTCGCTGCAAGTAAAAAGAATAAGCTTATGGTAGGCTATGTGAAGCTCAGATTCGTTATTGGAAAACAAGAAATAAAACCCACATTTCAAAATATCAAGGCTACCACTTTCCACACATCCATGTATGTAAAACTGTTACAATCTGAGCAGAAAAGGATTCTGAAAATCACCTAAAAATAAGGAAAAAAAACTGTCAGAGCTGAATAAATAAAACATTATTGCACAGACACAGTAAGAACTTTTCAACATGTTTACACTGAAGCTTCATATTCTTATTACTGTAAAGTTTTGGAGCATAATGACAGCAATAAAATGTCAGCAGCCCGACCTCTAAAGTAAATGACAAAACAGCAAATGTATTATCATTCTGTAGACTGTAGACAACTGGAAAAAATGTACCATCTAAGCACATTTACAGGATGGGTCACTTCTCCTTCAGCCATCTTAAGTATTTAGTATTCTGATTTGATGTCAAAGACTATTTTAAGTTTCACGAGGAGCCTGTCCTATATTAAATCACCACAGCTCAGACAGCTATATTCTCTTACACTGTCAGTACACAGTCCTCATGAGTACAATTTTTGTTTTTAAACAGGTTATGGTAGTTTATAGTTAAACAACATTACTCTGGTAGTGTTAATAGATGTAAAGCATTTTAATTTACTTAATCATATTTTGACAAATGAACTGTCTGATCATTTTCTTTCTTATCTAATTGATGCATCTTGTCACAAGTTTAAGTATAGAATCATTGTAACATCACTTATGCATCTTAAAATATGCCAACAATGGTGAATTCAGATTTTAATAGTGCCATCTCCACTTTGATTTGCAGCAGATAGTGCAGAGATTCATTTGGCTTTGCTGTCGTTTGTGCCAAATCCTCAATTTCCTTCCCTGGGCTTTTTCTCATCTGACCTCCTTTTTTTCCTGTGTTATACAACTGTGATAATGTATGGTTGGATTTAGTTTATCAAAGGGAAACTTCAGTTCACTCTGTATGTTGAGGGATTTTTAGACTCATCAAACATTGACAACCAGTACATTATGTGTGGGCAACATGGCCATGTCACATTACTGTTATTTGGGTGAAGGTAAATCTGAAGCTTTATCCTCCTGTTAAAAATCAATGCTTACTTAATCTGAGCTCTGTTGAGAAACCTAGAAAGTCGTGTTAAATTAGGTGGTAAAAATTCCACAGAGAAGTTACACAAAAGGTGTCTTAAGGGTTATAAGTTATAGTGATACCAGTAATAGTGAAAATTACTGTTATTTTTACAGTAACGTAGTAAAACTGTAATCAATGATAAAAAAGAAAAAGCATATTTACATGAAGAACTCAAATTATTACAGTACACTAGAGTTGATCATGAACTGTTAATTAGATTTATTTTTTAGTTTTTATCCATTTTAATTTTAATCAAACACAACAGTTATAAAAGTCTTATATTGATTAAAAAAAACTGCAGAAACCTTTCTGCATGGCAGTTCCTGCATTGAAATGGATTTGAAGCACTTCGTGACTCTTTCTGATCTTGTTTCTTCTTGGCTAGATCTTTGCTTGGCTTGTTCTTGCTCTCTTTCCAATGTACATCACTTTGGATAAATGACATTCTAGCATTGTAAAATTGGAAATGATTTCAGTATATAGCTGTCAATCGCCCAAAGTCAAAGCAGCCACCTCAAAACAAGTTATTTTAAAATCTTCATTTAACGTTACATCAAAGTTCCACATGAGAGATATGTTTTCGAATGATGGCTGTAATTTCATGTCAGTTGTAAATATCTTTGAATGTAACTGCTGTCTTTGTTTTGTTTGTTTTTTTACTATGTTTTGGTCCCCTTTTGTCACTGTACTACCTTTCATTACTGAGTAATCACAACACCTTAAAATATCCAATGGCTTTAAATGTATTTCTACAAATGAAACACTCTGTGGATTTGAATTACCTTTTTAATCCACTCTAGAACCCAATATGTATTAATAGTAGCTTCAATTCTTAGTGCAGGTTCACTGATTGATTTTTCATTTTCATCTCGATCAATCCATCCATCAGACTTTTGTGTACTATTTGTGTAGCACTTTTTATACAGTGAGATGTAGAACAAAGTGCTTCACAGAAAATCATTTAAAGAAAACACTGAATCATTTAACTGTTAGGACAAGCAGACAAGCAAAAATATGAAATAAATTAAATAATGATAAATATATATATACATGCAAGCTATACACTTACATGCAAACATACACACATATACATACACACAGATATGCATGCATACACACAGTAAAAATACATTAAAAATAATAATAAATTAAACAGCACAGAATGACCCAAGGAAGTTGGGAAACACTATCATGAGATCATAATGAGGAAACACCAGGGGTAAGATTAAAATTCAAAATAGTAGATTAAGAAAATAAATAAATAAAATTAAAAAAATAAATCCAATAATAAAACACTAAAACCTAAATGAACACTAAAACATACATACTAAAAAATACTAGATGGAAGAATAAAATAAAGTCAAACAATAATAAAACAAAATAAGAATAGGATAAGAATTAATATGAAATGTTAAAACTTGAATAAATATATTAATAAATAAATAGTAAATTCAGCTCAAAGTTAAACTAAAAAGGCAGATCTTAAGTTTACTTTTAAATTACATTTAAAACGTTATTTTTGTGCTGATTAACCAATGACTGAGTGATTAAAAGCAGAGAATGAAATGTCAAGACAGAACAGGGGGCAGCCAATAATAACTAACAGAGATTTCTAAGCCATACTCTGAAAGTGGGCTGAATATCACTCAAATCATTTTAAAGAAACTCAAAAAACACTATGTCAGTTACAGCTGATAACTGACTTACCCAACTTTGACTTTACCGTAGTATGTGGTTGTAAATCCCTAGAAAGCATAGGTAGTCCAGCTGATGATGGAGCCTAAGCAGCTCATCCAAACACGATTGAGTCAGCTAAAAACAAAGCAAGGCGACGGGGAAAAGATCCTGGTGATCAGAACAAACACACAGAGGTCTGCAATGATTTATGGGGAGTTACTAACATACACTAATCAAACTCCTAAGTTCACTTCTTCTATACTGACATCATCAACAGTTAGGTTGTGTACCAATAAGAAGCTTAACTTAATCACAGTTCTGTTAAAAGCCTAAAATCTGTGATATCAGGTGTAAGGTTAGGTCAGGTAAGTAGAAATTTGTTAAGGTCATTAACCCAGATAAATGTACTTAATATACCGTACTTGTTGACAAGGCATGTTAAGAGGATGCCACCTGAGATAGTAAAGCTTAGGGTTGAAGGGAATTTCCTGTTGTTATTGTTTTTGGTGGTTTCCATTGAGGTCATCTGACATGTAACCACTGGATCGTTTTTATAATTTGGCGAACGCGTTATTATTTCTAGTGTTAATAGTTTTCGTCAATTTTTACTTCACTTTCAAGTATGTGCAGGACCGAGTACCAAGCAGAAAATGTAAGAAAAAAAAAATGTAGAAAAATAAATTAGGACAACAAATGAGCTAAAAGCTATATTCAAAAATCAGACAAAAGTAGATTACACAAGTGATAACTTCACACAAGAATCAATCAATCAATTTTTATATATATAGCGCCAATTCATAACAGTTGTTTGCCAAAGATGCTTTCCAAAAGAGCAGGTCAAGACCACGCTCATTGTTTGATGTATTACAAAGACCCAAGCTTGCGATGGGAAAAATTTGACCTATCCCATCCAACATGAGACACGGTGGCTAGGAAAATCTTCCGTTCAATGTGCAGAAACCTTGAGTAGAAAGACTTCATCACATCCTCAGAGAAAATCCTGAGTGTTAAATTGAGTTGAAATAGGAATTGACAACCAGCGTCTTTGCTATGGTTACAAAATGTTTTATATTTCTAACACTGACATATTATAGTATACAAAAGTCCACCACCATTAAAGTTACCAACGCTGACTGAATGGTAGCATTTTTTAAACCACAAAAGACACGATTTTATGTTAACCAGCTAGTGACAGTGCTGCTTTGGATCTCAAAAGTTCTCAAAAGTGGTTAAGTCCTCTCAGTCTTGATACTGTACCAGCCTACAGTATGTGACATTAAGCTTTTGTTACTGCACAACAAGGTGACTGAAGGTGAGACACTGGGGTCAATCCTATCAGGATGATAACTTCTCTTCCTCCACATGGAGACGGAAACGGATTATTTTTATATTAGAGTGTTGATGTAGCCATTGCAATATCACATCAGCTTCCACCACAGTGGATTTTAGCACCGAATGAAAGACTGTTTGTAAATTCATGAACTTTCCTGATCAAACAGTTCAAGTTGTCATGGAAAACAAACTGTTGACTTGATGAGAAAAGCCTCTTCGCCAAATGTCATGACAATGACAAGTCACACGTAAACCAATTTGACAGCCATTATCCACTTTACCCTTTACACTTTTAAACCGGTCAGTGTTCAGAGAAGATAACTGTCTATCCAATATGTGAAAGGAAGTCTGCAGACACCTCTACTGACAGCTGAAACTCAGTCTGTACCACACAAGCTACCACAAAATCTCAGACATATATAGAATTTTTAAAGAATTGGCATATTTGCACAGTCTCTGCTCCCTAGATGTGCTCTAGTCAACTGTAATATTTTGATGAGGTGATAGTAAATAAGTTTATTTGCCTGCATAGAGCCTGAGATTAAAATGAAACTGAACACCTTACAGGGGAATCCCCTCAGCAAGCATGGGCCATTTCATCCTACATGGCGTCAGTGCCTGAGCAAATGCTCTTTGGCTCTATTTACTTCTGAGAAATCTTAAGAAGGCTTTTTCCTAGAAGAGGGATTGCACAGTTGCATTGAGAGTGGGGAGTCATACTTCAAGATTATGCCCATGATTTGCATGCTCATAGTAAGAAAAATGTAGGTGAAATCCTAAAAGATGTTGTGAACGTAATTCTGATTATCCAATCTAATTCTTTTTACCTAATCTTAATCCTTCGGAGCAGGTAAGTGGAACAAATGGTCCAGGCTTCTCTTTCTGGTGAGATTAATTGCTCACCTCATTTAACTTTTGTGCTTTCTCACACTAATCCAATTTTGGCATCTTGACCAAAAGGCTAGTGGTTGGGTATAAAAACCACACTGCATAGCATACCGTCTTGTGTACACCAACACAGTTGGGTTTTTTTTGGACGGAAAAGCTCAAAAGAACAACCAAGTTTTGAAGATGGTCTGGGATGGAGGAATTGAGCCCAATGGCACAGAGGGAAAGAACTTCTACATCCCCATGTCCAACAGGACCGGGATTGTTAGAAATCCTTTTGAATATCCACAGTACTACATGGTGGATCCAATAATCTACAAGCTGCTGGCTTGCTACATGTTCTTCCTGATCTGCACTGGAACTCCCATCAACGGTCTGACATTGCTGGTAACCTTTCAGAACAAGAAGCTCCAGCAGCCTCTCAACTACATCCTGGTGAACCTGGCGGTGGCCGGACTCATCATGTGCGCTTTCGGATTCACCATCACCATTACATCTGCCGTCAACGGATACTTCATTCTTGGACCAACTTTCTGTGCCATTGAGGGGTTCATGGCCACGCTGGGAGGTATGAAAATGAAATTGGGTTTTAATGCTTTGGGTAGTTCCATTTTTTAAATTCCCCGAACACCCTGACCCCTAACACAGAGCAGCTACAAAAGGAAAGAAAATTGAGAATCACAAAAACAAATATATAACGGGCTTACTCATTTAACAGTCAACAACCTAAAGATAAGTTCTAGAGCGTTTAAGTAAGATGCCTCTTCTCTCTGCAGGTGAAGCTGCTCTCTGGTCACTGGTCGTCCTTGCTGTTGAGAGATACATCGTCGTCTGCAAGCCCATGGGAAGCTTCAAGTTCAGTGGTGCACATGCAGGGGCTGGAGTTCTTTTCACTTGGATCATGGCCTTCTCATGCGCTGGACCTCCACTGTTTGGCTGGTCCAGGTGATTGCCTTTTATCATTTAATTTGAAGAGATTTCAGTGTAGATCCAGTCAGTTTAGAGAAAACACATAATCAAAGCCATACGGTTGGTGGATATTGCAAGCCGGGTGAAAAGCCTATTGATTTTCTACTACTTATCTCGCCTCTTCGCACAGGTACCTCCCTGAGGGCATGCAGTGCTCCTGTGGACCTGACTACTACACTCTGGCTCCAGGCTTCAACAATGAATCATATGTCATCTACATGTTCGTGGTTCACTTCTTCATCCCTGTGGGTGTCATTTTCTTCACATATGGAAGCCTTGTCCTGACTGTCAAAGCTGTAAGTAAAGCTCATCAGATGTTTAACTTATTGCTTTAGGGATTTTATTAAAGCTGTGCAAAACTGCGGAGCAATTCTCACAGAGTTTTTTGGTATGAACCTCTGTAGGCTGCAGCTCAGCAGCAGGAGTCAGAATCCACACAGAAAGCTGAGAGGGAGGTCACCAGAATGTGCGTCCTGATGGTCCTTGGCTTCTTGGTAGCTTGGACTCCATATGCTACTTTCAGCGGCTGGATCTTCCTCAACAAGGGAGCTGCCTTCACTGCTCTGACAGCAGCCATCCCTGCCTTCTTTGCCAAGAGTTCAGCATTGTACAACCCTGTCATCTATGTGCTGTTCAACAAACAGGTCAGTTTTTAGTCACTATCTTGCCTTCTTTTTAGTGTTTGAATCCACAGCTATGCACTTTTCCAATCTCATCACCTCATCTCTGTCTGTTTCAGTTCCGTAACTGCATGCTGAGCACTATTGGAATGGGCGGCATGGTGGAGGACGAGACCTCAGTTTCCACAAGCAAAACAGAAGTGTCTACTGCCTCTTAAACACAGAGACATTTTCTTACACATGGACATTCCCCTTTCTACTATCTGCTACGTTCAACTTTTTGATCTGGAATAACCCTCAGTGTGGATCGAGTGGAGTTCAGACGTCCCTGAAGGAACTCATCTTTTGCGTAAAGGATGCTGAAAATTATCATGTTGGCCTGAATACATTATCAATGCAAAAGATGATGTAGAGGCCCTGTTGCCCTAGATGTCTCAATTATTTGGAAAAAAATTGAATGTACAAAAACATCCTTGAACAACATCTGTTATATGCCCCATTGTTTCCTTTTTGTTATGGGTACATTTTGTATTGATTTCCTGAAACGATCAATTCTGTGAAACTCTATTTGTTGGTCATCATGAATTGTAAACATTGTACATATTAGCATAGATAAATAAAACGCATGCATGAAAATGTGTCGTCATGATGCCGTCATTTCAACAACTGATGATTATAACCTCTGGGCAAGTTGCAAACCTTAAGAACTTTAATTTATCAATTATCGACTTGCCCAGCATTGCCCCAGTCTACTTTGTAAGTAAAGCCTCAGCCTGGACCAAATGCGACTCTGCATCCTGCCTGTGAAGAGTCAGCGCCCACAAGTGGTACTTCATGGTATCATGTTAGGGGGTGTTACCTGCTGAGGATGCTGTCAGGGGTGTGGTAAAGGGTAAATCAGGTGAATCCAATTACTGAGGCTCAGGATAAGGACTTCAGAGTGTTGAGAGTCTTTAACACATTGGCATTAAAAAGTAAACAGAGACATGTGCTTAAAGTGAAGCCCAGATGCTTGGAAACCAATCAAACAGATAAAGAAACAGCATGTTCCTCTTGTAGATGTGGGGACTGACTCAGAAAAAACAGTTTAAGCATTTATACAGAATAAGGCCGTGACTAAGCCCAAATCTAAAGGCTGCAGCTGGACCTAACAAAGCTGTTCTCAACTTGGCTCTTTTATTTTGCTACCTACGAAGAACTAAAAGCCACTGTGCCTTACCCTCCTGGGATGTTTTCCACCTGTCTGTACCTTATGTTCTCACCTAGATGGTGGAAACAGTGTTCAGTTTTGCCACCCACTGTGCATGAAGTACACTTCAGAGTGATTTAAAAGTGACAAATCTCATCTCAGTTGAAGCTTTGGTGTTTTCCACCGTCTCAAATGACGGAATATACAAGACCAATGAACAGGGCCTGTGTTTTTCACTTTTTAAATGCTTGTTTTGAAGATGTCTGTAATTTGTCTTATCATGTAATATTCATACAGACGTGCTGCTAATCTCTGCGGTTATTACCTGTTAAATAAAGGTTAAACAAAAATAGAATTAGAGGCCTACTCTCATAAATATAATTTGCCCATGTCACAAATAGCAGTTATGTGTTATATTACTTATTATCACAGCTATATTCATTTATTTGTACTATTTCATATAATAGGCAATATCACATTCATTTTTAAAGGTCAAAAGTGTAATATCACTTTGTATATTATGCAATATAATGTTCCATTTCCACGGTGATGTGCAATATCACTGATCATTTAAGATTCTTGATGCCATGGGCGATACTTTTTGCTTTCAAATTGATGTGTAGAATAGCTTAATAAACAATATATATATATATATATATATATATATATATATATATATATATATATATATATATATTTATATATTTATATATATATTATCATAACCATGTACACTCATGTTTGTATCAGCTTTTTTTACATTTTGCTATTCGAGACAAATTTTACAAACTTCAATTGGTGCCCATTATCAGCGCTAATACTATAACAAAACAGCATTACTGTTGTTCTGCTTAGCTTACTTCGGTTTTTAGATTTAAATGTCTGTCGGGCTGTCGGAGCCTTCTGGCAGTAGAATAAAGCTGATCTTTTCTCAACAAATAGACATTGAAGTTTAAATCTATAACACTTACTCTTACACGTTGTCTGATTAACTCCAAATCTTCGAGAAACACTGACAGACCTTCATTATACAGGAAATGGAAATTGTTTTTCTGTGGGTTATAGTGTACTACAGAGCTCAAAAGTATGTACCTTTAAGTAGTGTCTGTGATGTTTGTGATGGTCTTACTGTGCTGCCTGTATCCTTAAGCAGGGGTGTTACCCACCAAGGGGGGGCTGATAATAGAGACTTAGTAGTTACAGTCTGGACAACAGCTCCGTCTTGTGGGAGGATTACCTCCTGGAGCTGATGAAGAAAGAACATCCTTTGCTTGGCCTTTAAATGTGTGTGATCCCGTTTTCATATTGTCAACTCAAATTTTTGTATTATCTGTATTTACTGTAACAATGTTTACACTGCTTTCTTTACCTGCCCGAGAGAAAAAGCACTTTTTATTCTTTCAGACTGAACTGATTTCAAATGGTCATCTGGAGTAAAACAGTAAAAGCAGGTAGTTAAAACCTGTCTACTAGTATGTCTTTTTATTAATCATTTAATTTGTTTCATTATGACTGGTTGAGTAAGACGGCAATATCAGCAAAGAAATTATGACTGATTTGGGATAAAGTAAATTACAGTTTGAATGGTGAATTTCAAGTTTAACACCAAAGTAAGTGTGTTTATTTGATTTGTGATATCTATGTTGTTGTTTCCTTCCATTTATAATATCTATGTTGTTGTTTTCTTCCATTTATAATATCTATGTTGTTGTTTTCTTTCAGTGTATTTAGTGTTTTTATTTTCTTTGAGAGAAAGTGCCTGTCTTGTGATGATGAAGTGTATACTGGTTAAAAAATAAAGTAAAAATATAAGTCAAGAATCTGTTTATATATATATATATATATATATATATATATATATATATATATATATATATATATATATATATTATTATTATTATTATTATTATTATTTATTTTTTTTTTTTATTGAAAAACAGTAGGAGGCTGTAATAAATGATATATACGAGACCTTTTTCACAGTACGCGGAAGTTAGCAATCTGCTCACTTCCGGTGTTAGCGTGTGGTGGAGCCACTTAGCATCGCCCATACACGGCCATTCATTTTTCACGATATTAACGAGCTCGCGACTCGTTTTTTGGACAGGTAATGTAAAATTTGACCACAAACATAAAATTATCCAATTATGCTTTGTTCTGTCTTACTAACTCCTGTTCTTCATAATACTGTCCGGATTTTGTACTTTACTTTTCGGGAATTATGTTTTATAGGTCTGGAAATTTTCTGATGATGGTAACCATTGCTCTTCAGTAATGACCGATTAAACATAATTCCCGAAAAGTAAAGTACAAAATCCGGACAGTATTATAAAGAACAGGAGTTAGTACGACAGAACAAAGCATAAAATTTTACATTACCTTAAAAAAAAAAAAAACGAGTCGCGAGCTACAGTCAGACAGTAGCACCATGTTTGGGAAAGGCAGTGTTAATTCAAAAGCTGCCTGTAAGTTCTTGTGAATGTTAGAAAGGATCATATAGGGTGAGTTCTTGGCATAGGTGATATGGGTTGTCACTTATCCTGTTATTCATGCTTTTGGAGGTGCTTTTTACTTAAATTTTCTAAATGAAATGTGTGAAAGAATAGGTGTGAGTTCAGGTTTCCTCTCTAGACTCACGGAGAGGTGTGTCTCTTTCCTGGTCTTGAACCCCAGATCCTTTCATCGAGAGGCAGCAGCCTTCACCACTTTGTTACATGATAGTCTGTCAGCACCGTTTTTATGAGTCATGATTTCTTCTATTTTTTTTGACAGCGGAAGTTTAACACCATGGTTAAATCATAAGAGTGGACAACATCTTCGCCCTGGCTCAAATGAAAAGTCTGAACCATAGACTCTGTATAGAATGGACGCTGTCTGCCTCCTCGCTGGGTGAAGCCGCCCCATAGACCGTATATACTATGGACAACCTGGTTCCGCCTTCCGCCTGTATACGGATTTGAAGCCAAAAAGCTCTCTGTAATTCCGGGTTTTTCTCCACTTCCTTGAAACCAGAGCTGCGCAGTAGTGATGCGCGCATTCGGCCGCGCAGTCGCAGAGAGTCCCTGTGATGACACTCGGCTCAAACAGCGTATCCCCCCGGGTGAGCTACGCAATCCCTGAACGCCCATAGGCTGTACCAGGTGTCAATCATAGAAAACATGAACCCCCTAATAACTTTTAAAAACGGAGCTGTACAGAAAAAAAAGGACTTGGGCATAAACCAGTCTTACAATAACTACATGTCAACATCACAAGCAGGGGGGAGAAAAATGTATGTTTTGTGTAATAAATTTTGAAAGTTTGTCCACAGTCCCATAAGCTTTGCTGGCGGAGGCGGGATTTATGACCTATACTGCAGCCCACCATCAGAGGGTGCTGTTCTCGGAGTGGCTTCACCCAGTGAGGAGGCAGACTCTGTCCATTCTTTATACAGTCTATGGGTCAGACATTGGGACCATATAATTGTTACGAACCTCATTTGGTGCTGCCACTTTACTGAAAGAGTCATGCTTTAGCATGTTGTGAGTATTAATCAAATATTTAAGAATTGAGAATCATATAAGTAATAACTTTTTTAATGATGTACTATACCTTTATAAGGTATTATGCTCACTGCTAATAACTCTTCATAAACATTAATATCAGCTGTTATGACTGGTTATTATCACTCCTAAAGATTGTTATAGACACATTTATGAGGCTTTATAAATGGGCTTATGGTGTATTACAAAAGTGGGGGTTATGAAAATATCCTTCAAGTGTTGAGCATACAGATTACTTCTTGTTGTAGGGTTGGAGGTGTTAGACTAATCATGTTTTCTGTCCTTTTGCTATTATTACAAAAGTCAAACAACTTGTAAACTTAGCGAACTATTAAATAAATGGGATCAAAATAACTTGTTGAAAACACAACACCCAGGATGTTTTTCATGCATGCATTTAATAACTTTTTTCTACTCTTTGTTTATAAAATATATACAGAATATTATGACAGAGGTTAACAAATATGCTAACTCCTTCATGTCATAAATGTACAACCACCCAACAATCATTCACTCACACATCCAAACATGTCACCATATTTGTCACAAGAAAACACTTCAGGCTGAGTTTCAGAGATGTTCTTGTCGATTCTCTTTCTGCTGTTGCTCAGATGGTGTTGGGGGATCAGTTTTTATCACACACAACTTAAAAATGCGCAGGGTGAAATACTGCCATTGGCATGAATTCTCAAAGTGATGTCCATTTTTTGCAGGAAAGATCATCAGCTTGATTCCACTTGGTTATTTTAACCTGAAGACAGCCATCCAGAATCAGGAAGACACCGGCAGAGAGGATGTCTGGAGATGTGAAGTTATTAACCTTGAGATACAGAGGAGACTTCTGTCTTGCTGGAAGATACTGAGGTTTCATCATCCACAGCGCCACCCATGCCAATGGTGCTAAGCATGCAGTTACGGAACTGAAGGGATAAGAAAGAGAGGTTTTTATCAGCTATTAGCATTACACTCTGACTTTGTAAATAGCCTGTCTAGGTTTTAACACAGTTATAAGCCCCTTAAGAAAACAGCTGCCATGTGCCATGTCTCTATGTGTGGTACCCAACTGACCTGTTTGTTCATCAGCACATAGATGATGGGGTTGAAGATTGCTGAGGACTTGGAGAAGAAGGCAGGGACAGCCATGGATACGGCTGAGAAAGCAGCTCCCCTGTTGAAGAAGATCCATGCAGCATAGCTAGCATATGGAGTCCAAGCTACCAAGAAGCCAAGGACCATCAGGACGCACATTCTGGTGACCTCCCTCTCAGCTTTCTGTGTGGATTCTGACTCCTGCTGCTGAGCTGCAGCCTGGAGTGTGTTGAAAAAGAAGAGATGAGAGGAGGTTAGCAAGACAGACAAGTACTCTGTGCATCACAAATCCGTCACATCACAAAAGCCTTCCTGTGCTGTCTTGTCCAAAAATATCTTAAAGTTTCTGTGAGGATTTTCTAGCTGGTTTTGAAAGGTCTGAAATGTCTCTTGGTGAACTTAGGACGCAAACAAGTTCATCAAAAAAGGGGAGAAACTTTTTCTGTATAATTATTTTTACTGCTGGTGAGGGGTAGGTGTCGGACCAAGTCATGAACCCTAACACTGCTGATGTCAGACATTCAAAATAACAAAGACACTTTCATTTGTTTTGCAAAATACTTGATAAATGGTGCTATTGACTCATTCAAGAGTAGATTTTTTTGTCAGGAGACACCAATTCTATATTGATTTATACACAGGGGGCACCAAAATCAACACAAACCAAAAGTTCCACACTGGTGTATTAAATTCAAAATACTAGTGTCATGTATTAAATAGTCACATAAAAAAACACTAATTTGATTCTTCATAATTGGAAAAGGAAATACCTAACCAGCGGCCTTATGAATAGCACACTGTTTGGATTTAACACCAGTAATCAAAAAGAAAAAGAATTGCTGGTTGTGACAAGAATACAAATCAATGGAAAGTTTCATAATTAAGATGATTATGACGATATTTACTCAATGAGAAATGAAAATAACGTTTAAGTGTTCTTCAAATCTATTGAATCAAAGTAATATAATATATCCCGCTGACATAAATCAGTACTGTTAATGGTAACAATATGCAGTACAGTGTATTGTTTGAAATGTGGCACAGTCAAGAATAAGACTTACAGCTTTGACAGTCAGCACCAGGCTTCCATAGGTGAAGAAGATTGTACCAACTGGGACCATGAAGTGGCAGATGAACATGTACATGACGTATGATTCATTGTTGAAGCCTGGAGCCAGGGTGTAGTAGTCAGGTCCACAGGAGCACTGCAGGCCCTCAGGGATGTACCTGTGAGAGAAGAGAAGCAGGAAAATTTCAGTACTGTACAAAAAAAGACAGCAGTTGCAGAGTTTTGTCTTGCACATTAACATAAATTCACATCAAGTTTTTTTTAAAAGTGTCAATGTGGAAAAAGGAACGTTTCACTATTTGTCAAGTACATTTTTATGAAGAGCATGTCTGCAACTTTTTCTTTTCTATATATTTCTATTTTACAAATTCCAGTCTTCAGATATACTGTACATGCAACCTGCTTTTTTAGCATTTGCCAAAGTATAAATTAAGCAGCATTTTGACCATGTATGTAGCTGTTTGTATCTGACTGCTGGGCTGCAACTGAAATCTTAAAATGACAGCAGAAATTTGGGTGAAAGCTTTAGCTGTATTCACCATAATTCCAACCTGAATCTACAGGTTCACTTTCACTGCCACACTTTGACTCATGAATGTGGTCTCTATAAATGGAAATATCTACCCCCATTTAAGTACAACATGTACATATACACTTATGTCTTTAAATACTGCTTTTAGTATTTCTAAATGGACCCAAGTTAGTGAACAAAAAGTTACAACAGAGTATCTCTTTCTGACAAATCCAGTTTAGTCACTGATGCAGAGACAGGAAAATGCACCAAGTGACCAGAGAAAGAAGCCCATTGGTTTTACCTATCTTTACCTCTTCTTATAATATATACAAATTACTCTAATAATATATAGCTAAAGCTTTGAGTGTTGCAACAGTATGCCCATACCAAACTTTGCTGAGTCATTGGACTACTTTGCAAATGGCTGCTTGGCACTGTGGCAACAATATTTGCATATGCTTTCATTCATTTAGCTATTTTTCAGAGATATAGTGGTTATTCCATTATTCTGTAAGGGAGAGGAAACAATGATAGCATATTAGCATATTGCACAGTAAAAGTCTATCATTGGTGGCTACGTTGCCTGACCTCCATCATCCATTTTAGCCTGAATAAAAGACATTTACAGCTTTGAAACCGCTCTTTACAGACTAAAGGGAAGAGAGAGGCTGAATCAATCTGTTTATCCAACATCTGCCAAGAACAGCAAATCCAGCCCTCCTGCACCTGTTAGGTCAGGAGATAGTCTGGGAGAAGATGAATGGAGGATGGGCTCGATTTGGATGGGCTTGACATAAAGTTGAGGTATTTCAATCAATATAACTTTTTAACTCAAACTAAAATGCAACTTTTCATGAGAATTAACATAATCTATAGGAAACAGATGTCCGATGTTTGAATTACCTGGACCAGCCAGCCAGTGGGGGGGCAGCACAAGCCATGGCCATGATCCAGGTGAAGACAACTCCAACTCCTGCATGGGTTCCACTGAACTTGAAGCTTCCCATGGGTTTGCAGACAACGATGTATCTCTCAACAGCCAAGACCACCAAAGACCAGAGAGCGACCTGACCTTTAAGATAAAAAAGCAAACATCTGGTTATGACAGTAGGAATAGTCTTAACTGTTGCATTTTCAGGGAGTCTTAAAGAGGATAATTAAGTCACTTTGTTACAAACTTCTTTTGTCATACCTCCAAGAGTAGCCATGAATCCCTCAACGGCACAACCCGTTGGTCCAAAAATGAAGTAGCCATTAATAGCGGTGATGAAGGTGATGGTGAAGCCAAAGCAGACCATGATGAGTCCAGCCACAGCCAAGTTGACCAGGATGAAGTTAAGTGGTTGCCGGAGCTTCTTGTTCTGAGCTGTGACCATCAGGGTCAGGAAGTTGATGGGGAATCCAGTGCAGATGAGGCAGAACATGTAGAAGGCGAGCATCTTGAACATCCATGAGTCCCCCAGGTAGTACTGTGGGTATTCGAAAGGACTCCTAACAAGCCCCGTCCTGTTGTTCATGGGGATGTAGAAGTTTTTCCCCTCTGTCCCGTTTTCCATCATCTTGAAGCCGTGGACCTACCGTTTGCAGTTTACACAAGAACTGTCTGAACCCCTAGGCAGCTAGCTGCAGGGAGGTCTGGGTGGTAGCTTTATACTTGTCAAAAATTGGATTACACAAGGATTGGGAATAAGTCTCCAGAGTAATCCTCGGTAATTCATCCTAACCCCGGATACTCATCAACTTCAAGTAGGTAGTTAAGAAAGTTTGGACTAGTTGGTCCCGCACCCACTTCTTTTTAATTGACTTACTGCTCATGTGCTTAAGTTTGAACACTTGGACATACAGTATCTGTGTAAAAAGTGAAACCTCTTACTCCGCTTACTTTGCCATTTTTCTAGTTGTCATAAATTCCATTTAAGATGGTAATTTTATGTAAATGGCAAGTCATCAATCATTTTTGTTTTATTAGGCTTTGAATATTTACAGTAATGTCCTCCATTTCCTCTTTACAAATTTGCTCCTTTTGATATTTTACCCCCTTTCAGTCCTATTATTCATCTAAAGATAACACACGAACGCACACACAGTCTGTATTCATATAGAGAGAGAACTAAATAGACACACAGACAAAGAGATAAGAGTATTTAAGAACTGAAACAAGTCCAAAGTGCTTCTGTCTTAACCCTTGTACACTATTCTAGGATAAGTGGTAATTACTAAAGCCTTCTTCCTGAGACATCTCGACCATTCAAGCCCTAATCACCACCAGCACCCCCTTGCAGACTGCAGAGAATAGACACATATTATGTTCAGCACAGTAAGATAGTCCCATAAAGTCATAGTGCTGCACACTTTCTTTGTTTGCGTTGTTCTCCTGCTGATATTTTCATAATCTGGATGTGTCTCTTCGTCTTGGAGTCGAAAGGATTGAAGGCTGCTTAAAACTGTCTCTAACAAAACCTTTGCTCTTCTCTTTCGGTACGGTAGTGCTTACATTTTTTTCTGCTGATGTGTTCAGACAGCAAGATGAACATGAAGGGGAACAGTAAAGGTTTGTGGACATTTAAAAAAAAAGACTGTAAACACCACCTCCCCTTTTGTTGCATGTATGGTTTACTCTTCTTACTTTGTCTTATAAATGTACTGATTGATATTGTGCCTTCTCTCTTATTCTGCATTGAGCACTTTGTGCTGCATGGGCGCTAAGCACACTGCATAAATTAATCTTATCAGATCACCCTCTTCACTGTTAAGTATACATTTCATTTAGACATTCATCCATCCATCCGTGACCCCCTTATCCTCTGAGATTATCAATGGGATGACGTCTATCCCCGCCCACATAAGTCAAGACAATCAACCTACGCAGATTGACATTCTGTCACAGCACACATACACAGGCAATTTCATAAACTCACAGAGACACACTTCAGGTAATGGGGGCTTTGCCAAAACATGGTGGGAGTGTGGGAACTACCATCCAAAAATAAAGAGTCACATACGTACACGCCTTTTTGTTTATTGAGTTCAGTGTTTAATGATGATTTCTTATGTACATCAGGGATTCTTGAGAGTCGGGACAAAACACTTCCTAAAAAACTTTTTTTGAGAATGCACACTATATTGATTAGAGTTATTTATTACTGTAGAGAAAGGTCTTAGCTATTTAACCCCGTAAAGGAACAGGCTCTAAATAAAAACATTTTTTCTATAAATTAACATGTTTCCCTTAGACAGTGGATTTGTGTCAACTCCATCAGACACACAAAAAAGAATATAATTTTAATAATTCTAGTCCAACAAGAATCTAAAGTTCTGATGTATGTTGTAATAGTGTTTAGTTACTCTGATATGCTATGAAATATAATATATAAACCTAGTGTGTGATTTCACACTGTTTTGAAAACCAAGATTTCTAAATAGTTGCATTTTCAAACTTTGTTTTTAATTTTTATATTATAAAAACAATTTCTGTAAGTAAATAAGACACAAGAGGATGTAGAGCCAATGCTCCTTTGTTACTTAATATAAACTGAAGAAACAAATTTTTTTTTCTCCAAAATTGAAGAAAAACATACATCTGACGGTGTTGACGAACACCTGACGGAGTTGACGAGAAACTGACGGAGTTGATGACATTGCATATGTTATTGAACAAATGTGTTTTTAAACCGATTGACAATAGGTCAATAGGTGAAAATAGATTAAGAACTAATAACTCATTATTTTCATACTGAACATACCGTTAATGCAATTAACCACCGCGCCGACAAGGCGTTTCCAAGCACATTTTCGTATTTTGGTGAGTTGTGCAGCCTGGCATAAGTATCCCCCCTCCCCTAACTCAGCTCCTTCCAGCGGCGTAGGTCATAGGGAGGGAGGAGAGAGGGCGTTGAGTGGGTTTAACACAGCCGAGACCTGTATTGACCAATAACATCAGCTTTTCTCGCCTTTGAATCCGCCACTAGCGTGGCGTATTACCATTTTCGTGAAGTAGTCAAAGAGATCAAGAGATGTCTGAAGACAGCAATGCCACATGATGGCGACAGAAGGCAGCACCTCAACAAGTGTCACTGTAAGCGCTGCATTGGGCGTCCTCTGCACTGTCTCATATAAGCACAGATGGATTTGGTGTGTGTAATGTTTGACCCACTGGTAAGACAAACACCCTTTTCCACAAATAAAGACAATCACATTAAATTGCATATATTTAAACCTCACGTGACAAAGGTGGGTTGTGCGCAAAGGTCACAACATAAATTCCAATAATGGCATTAAAATCGGAACCAATCTGTGTGTAAATCGCGCTCCGTGGCCTGGCTCTTTCTTTCATAGATCTTGGCATATAAAATAAATTTGGCTCACAAAACTGATTATTATAATATTTGTATGTAGGCTTAAAGTAAAAAACTCATCTGATCACTGGAACAAATAATCTGTTCAGCTGCCGCAGCAGCAGCTGCAGCAGGACGGGTAGAGGACACGGAGACATGTCCAGGTTGAGCTGCGCGAGAAATAAGAGGAAGAGGAAGCTAGAAATGGGGGCAGACAAATTAAATATCTTGTTAACTTCATCATGTGTGTTTATTTACTAGATATTTGATTCAATTTCATGCGGATTCAGCAGCTGTGTTAATTTGGTCAGGTTGAGTGTCCAAACGCATGCCAAATGCGCTCATCAGATCAGATATAGATCAGAATATATCGATATAGATCTAAATGTATGTGCTGACACAGATTATTAGTTGTTATTGATTATTTATTGCACGGAAATGTTCCTGACACTGTGGAAACCTGCTGGTGAGGCCGATATGCCGCCGGTCTCCCAAAATACCACTAGCCCATCCGGATCCACCTGAGCTGAAAGCTGACCAGGTTTGAATCTGCGAGCTTTCAGCGCACTTTACACGCCGGCAACAAGTACGAAAATGTCACTGCACCAGCTGATTCTGTGGACACCTCACCCTGCCACACATCCACGCCCAGCTTGGCGGACCTCGGTGCACCTCAGTCCACGAAAATACCAGCTGTACGCTGAGCTCCGCCAGACGAAAATGCCGCTGCGCGGGGTTCGCCACCCTCCGCCATGTCGCCGGTGGACACAAAAATAGAGCCCAAGGTCTGAGGGTCCAAGTTAACAATGTAAAAATAATAACCTTTTTCTTCTATCTGGTATCCCACCTACACTGGGGTTTAAAAGAGCAACATAGAACTTCTTGCGCACTCTATAAGAAGCCAGTGTGTAGATTTTAGGTAGTGAAAATTACATACTGCACCTTTAGGATTGTACATTAATCAATCAATCAATGATATAAGGTGTGTGTGTGTGTGTGTGTGTGTGTGTGTGTGTGTGTGTGTGTGTGTGTGTGTGTGTGTGTGTGTGTGTGTGTGTGTGTTGGGAAAGTTTGACAGTTATAATTAAGCAGACAGCCTGCCCATGGTCTACTCTACAAAACAGAAGTATATGGTAAAATAACGTAATATATGCTATATATGTACTTTTATGTGCAGATAAGACCCTGGAATAACATTGTTATCCTTAACCATGTTCAAAAATAGCATAATGTCAGCACATTAAGAGGTTATAGGTGGATTTGTCAACTCCATCAGCTTACATGTCAACTCTGTCAGACACAAAATCTGACGGAGTTGACGTCTGACGGAGTTGACGTAAGGGCATGTATTTTCCCTCCAAAACATATATTGTACAGTGCAGCTAGCTACTTTTTTGGCAGTTGCTAGCTGTCCTGATAATCTCACTAAAATACTTTAATTGAACTCACTATGGTTTAAAAAAAAGTATAATAATGGGGAGACGGTGTTGACATGGTCCAGCTGTGACCATACAAATATTGACATTGTTTGTCTAAAATATCAAAAACTGTAAAACCTACCAGACCATGTGTGGTGGTGTTGCATTCACCAGAAGCAGGAAATGAAAAGGGGTCCTCAGGGATACAGCTGACCATGATATTGCATGATTTAATGAGGTTTATAGAATAATCTGATGGAGTTGACAGAAACTGAGGACACAACTTTGATAGGCAGATTTTTAGGCAAAAAGCTTTTTGATGTTCAGGCCATTCATTGTTTATATATTTATAGGCCTGAATTTTTATTTGATGTATATGTTTTCACAATTATAGAGTTTTTTAAAGTTTTTTGGGGCTGGTCAATATTGTGACCTCTTGCTGAGGACACAAGCAATAACATGGACCTTCTAACCACAGACGTTTCATTTAAACAAATATCCCCCCAAAAAGTAAATATCTGTGCTAAAAAATAGGATTGGTATACACAAATCCATTAGATTTAACTTTTTGAGTATGTCAAACATTTAGAATTTCTTAATTGTTTTGAATAAATTAGACTTTTCTATGTAGGACATGTTTTGTCCCGACTCTCAAGAATGGGTGACATACAGAAAGTGATTTTTCAATAACTCATCTGTTTTGATTATATTTAGACGAAGACTTTGCATAGCTAGGCATAATTAGAGTCAAGGTAGCTTTAACTTGCATGCAGGGTGGGTTGTACCTTTTTTGCCAAATGTCAAGGCTATGACATCAAATCTTCCAAACCAGCATAAAGATCAGCTGGAAGTCAATTGGAGATGATATTTTTAAATTTGTTGGTAAAGAAACATTAAAAATCTCAAGATGCGCCATGAGAATGTTGGCACTACCTTTAACAAGAACTCCCCCTCCATAAAATAAAGATAACAAACATACATTCAGAGACTGCGAAGTTGCGCTCAAACTGTGATTCATGAAAAACACACAGACAGAGATGGATTTTGATGCATGCATTTATTTACCTACAATTACAATTTCATAAGCATTTATAAAATATATGTACAAGTGGCCAAGAAAATCAATTCTGGCCCTCAAAGAAAAAAAAAAAAGAGTTTCAAAATTACAGAATACAGAAGTGCTGGTCATGGCACTCACAGGGCCAACTTTGCTGGTTCCAAGGAATAAAACCTAGTCATTGTGAGATAGAACTCTGCCTTGCATACGGTGCAAGCTTCACTGTACTCTGTCAGATCTTTATGTAGAGTATTTTCTGAGGGACCCTACTGTATGAAAGCAAATGATACCGCCGTCTGTATATACTTGTCAATAGTCCATTTGAAAAATCCATCAGAGCTTTTGACAGTTGTCTGTGTTTAGGAAACAGAGGACACTTCTGTCTTGCTAGTAGATACTGAGGTCTCATCCTCCACAGCACTGGCCATTCCAATAGTGCTCAGCATGCAGTTACGGAACTGGAAAAAAAAGAGAAAACATAAAAAAAAAACATTTTATAATTATAAAGCAAAGCATCATGGGACACTGACTGTTGAAAACCTTTTTGGCACTCATAGAGCAGAATAATGTCCAGAGTTGGTCCAACTCTATGACCTAATTATCCTCTTCAAGGAAATGTGTTTACTGACAAGAGTTAGCAGCTTACACCCTGTTCACTATAATTGTGTTGGAGCAACACACTAAGTGCTTGAAAGCGGAATGAGAAACTGACCAAATACAGTAAAACGAATCAACACAGGCCGAGACAAGAACAGAAATGTGTTTTTACAGGTAAATATCTTTGTCATTTTCATTCTGACAAATATCATACTGATCAAATCTACATTTAAAGGTACGCATGAGTTTATTTTTATCACAATAAATGTATTTTAAAGTTGCATAGAATTTGTGAAAAACAAAAAGCTTTGTAGAAGCTGTAAAGTCTTGTTAGGTGGACTTTAAGCTGCTTATATGCACTAGGGCTGTTAATAACTGAGTAAAGGAGAAAACAATGTAATTCAAATGTATATATGTATAATTTGAGGAAGAGAAAGACTTCTTAAAAAGGGGAGGGGGGATAGAAGTGTGGAAATACATTTGATGGCAAATCAAATACTCATGTAAAGTTATATCAACACTTCCAAGGGACAGCAGCTCGCATTGGGAATCACTGTTAGTTTGAGAATCTGCTATAATAGATGTGGTATCATTATGGTTCTAAATATCTCTGTTTTTAAAGTGTTTATACAGGATTCACTATGTTTTTATAACTCGATGCACAGATTCATCAAAACATACAAGTCTGCCTCTGTTAAACTGTAAGTTATAATGTTTGTGGTATCCTGCTGTTGGGTTGAGTAACAGCCTGTTCACTTCTCGCCACAAAACATTGAATTGAGACTGTCTAGGTAGTTTTTTTTTCCAGTACCTGTTTGTTCATCACTACATAGATGATGGGGTTGAAGATTGCTGAGGCCTTGGAGAAGAAGGCAGGGATAGCCATGGATGTGGCTGAGAAAGCAGCTCCCTTGTTGAAGAAGATCCATGCAGCAAAGCTGGCATATGGAGTCCAGGCCAGCAAGAAGCCACAGACCATCAAGATGCACATGCGTGTTACTTCCTTCTCAGCTTTCTGGGTGGATGCTGAGTCCTGCTGCTGAGCTGCAGCCTAAAAGGGATTTAAATATCAGTAAGTGCTTGGGTACCCTTTGACCACTGATGGCAGTCTAAGTAGATTCAAATGTTTCGCTTACCGCCTTCACTGTGCACACAAGGTTTCCATAGGTGAAGAAGATGGTGAAGACAGGAATACAGAAGTGGCAGGAGAACATGTACATGACAAAGGATTCGTTGTTGTAGCCTGGAGCCAGAGTGTAGTAGTCAGGGCCGCAGGAAACCTGGATACCCTCAGGAATGTACCTGAAAGCAAAGACATGAAATTATAGCAAAAATGTTATTGAAAGATTCCAAGTACATTAAAATCTTAAATCAGTGCATTTGACTGAAAAAGTGAAATCACATAACATATTATACTATTGTGTAAAGTCAATGTATCATGAAAATTTTTTATTTGGGCATCAGATGGTTTCAGGTACTGTGTTGTGACATCAAAATTTAGAGCATTACATACTATTTGAAAATGTGATGGCAATGGGTGGTTATTTGTTAAAAAGTCCCTTGAAAATACTATAACAAGTTTTAACCAGGTAAGTTCTTCAGTTTATATTTCTGTAGTTCCGAATTTCGCAAAATCTATTAAATAAACAGTGTAGTCGACGACTATAAAGCTCCCATAAGGACGTTTTGGCTGGTAATTTAAAAGACTGAAATTGTTATCGACATCTCTACAAAACCTGAAAAGGGTAGGTGTTGGAGGAAGTCCACCACACAGCTGAGAATGCTGTCACATACACAGTGCAAGGTACCGCTTTGTCCAAAGGGGGCGCCAAAATCAACACAAAGACAAGTCCTTTACAAATTAACACTATGCCGATTATAATTTGATGTTAGTTTCAGAAATATTTGGTTGTTTCAGACCAATTTGGTTGACTCCTTTTTTTGTTTTGAGTTAACATTTCCTTTCCTATTAACAGAAGGACCATATCCAGTTGTTTACTTTGCAGCTGCAACCAGGAAGTAGTTCTGCTCAGGTGATCTTGAAATGTCGTTAACGTAAAAAATGTATCATCTCCTGTTTTTCCTTTCTTATCTAGAAGTTAATGTCCTAGCTAATCTGGGAGTTGAAAACCTGTGATGGCGTGACTGCTTTTGTAATGCCATTACTGAAACGTCTTCACGTGTTAGCCGAAGAATAGAGTTGTTGTGTTGAATGTTAGGCAGAAAGAATGGATAGTGTCGTGTGTTAGCTGGTGTTTTCAGATTTTTTTATCCCTTACCTTGACCACCCAGCCAGAGGAGGGACAGCACAAGAGAGAGCCATGATCCAGGTAAATGCACAACCTGCTCCAGCATGGGTGGCTGTGAATTTGAAACTACCCATGGGTTTGCAGACCACAATATATCTCTCAACAGCCAGGACCACAAGTGACCACAGTGACACCTGACCTGTTGATAAATGAGAGAAAACATGAGTTATCTTCAATAAAAATCAAACAATATAACGTTTAAGTGTCCATGTGTGAGAGTTACAGGATTAAACATTAAGCCTTTACCTCCAAGAGTGGACATGAATCCTTCAACAGCACAGGCCATGGTTCCCAAGGAGAAATATCCCATAACACTACAGTAAAAGCATACTGTGAATCCAAAGATGACCATGATCAGTCCAGCCACAGCCAAGTTGACCAGGATGAAGTTGAGAGGTTGCCGGAGCTTCTTGTTCTGAGCTGTGACCATCAGGGTCAGGAAGTTGATGGGGAATCCAGCGCAGATGAGGAAGAACATCCAAAGAGCAAGCAGTTTGAACATGATGGGATCCGCCAAATAATACTGTGGATAATAGAAAGGACTCCTCACAAGCCCCGTCCTGTTGTTCATGGGGATGTAGAAGTCTTTGCCCTCTGTGCCGTTCTCCATTTTGGCTGGTTAGGATTGGGTTTGGTTGAGTAGATTAAATGTTGATGCAGCAGTGTCTGCTCTCTAACCTGCTACATGTGATACTGCAGCTATGGTTATATAGCCCCCGGGGGACAGACCTTCGATGGATCAAGGAGATAAGCAAAGCGGATCTGCAAGAGAATTCCACACATAATCTGTGAGAGTGTAATCACCCCTTGCAGGATTTTGGGATATGTTTCATCATAGGTGGAACAAAACCAGACAGGTTACATGATATTTGACACAAAAGATCTTCTGTGTACTTTTACTTGAAATGTTACTGCTTTCAGCTGCACTTTTCTATTTCTATCTTCGTAAGGCAAAAAATTAACTGATATTTGTCTCGTTTAAATGACAGTGTGAAGTTGCTTTAGAGTAACAAGCATCAACTAAATTGTATAATCTACTTAGCAAATTGCTTGAATGCTCCAAACATGATTAAAGACTGCTTTTAACTAAAACATATAATTAAATTAACTCTGTGGCATCAAATAACTAGTGCCTAACAGGATTTCAGAGTGCAGGTGAGGGTGCACATTAAAGCTGCACTCTGAGCAAAGGCACTCTACGGTTGGCCTGTGTAGTTCTAATATGGATACACTGTATGTATTTATGAATGTACAGTCGTGCTGTTTGATGTGGAATTCATCGGATGTTGCAGGTTTTCTTTATGAAGTCATGAGGATAAAACAAGGTCACAGATGGGCTAAGTTCTTAGCTGATCTTCTGCCTACTTATGCAAAAACATGCTCCCCTTTCAGCCTCACATAACATGCTGAGACAACCTTTTTATCCTCTCTGTTAAACAGGTCAACATATCTTAACCCTGAGTCAAAAAGCAAAAGCACCAGGTCATTTAGAAATGTGCATTTCATATAAGAAGTGAGTTTTTTCCCCCCTTGACAATCATGTGTCATCTTTATATTATCACAGATTTTGTTACTGGCCTGCTGGAGCAAAATCGAACCCATGCAGAGCTATGTAAAAAACACATGATAAATATGTACTTGACATTTGGGTGCTGTGTCAGTGTCCGAACACTGAGAATGAGCTCAAATGTTGTTAAACTTTTTTTGTAAAAATTACAATTTCTAAGTAGTTTCTTTTTACCTGCTAAGACATATTTAAGATTAGATCTGTTTTATATATGTATAGGAGTAGTAAGTGTGCAGAATATTTCTCTTTTTCCTTACACAACTTTGTACTAACAGGAGGGGGAGGGGAACGGAGGGGGGCTAGACTGCTTTTACACAAGAGTAAAGCTGTGAAGCTGTCTGTAAAGACCCGTCAACAAACTGATTATTTCTATTTATAATTGCACTAGAGGCTCTTTACATCATATGTTGTCATGTTTATTTGTGAAAATAAAAATATACTGCGAGGGTAGCATAACTGTTTAACCAGCACACGCAGAAAGAAGCGTACATCACATATGTTTTTGGAGGTCTTAGGAGGTCAGATAGATCAGTACTTCAGATTCATCCAGTAAGGAGATTACTTTGCTGCAGAGAAAAAATGAACGAGGTCACGCCTCATAAGACTTATGTGTCTCTCGTTAGGTTGATTCCAAAGACACTGAAAACTGCCATTAGATTTTCAGCTATTTCATATGGTTCACAGTTAACAGGAAACAGGATGGAGCTCATTTCCTACATGTTATAACTCTTATTTATGTTTGCAAATTGCATGATCATTTTTTTTGTTGTTGTATATGAAAATTGACAGTGTCATGTTTTTGCCATACGTCCTCTTTTCTGCACTGTCATAGCCATGATTATACCAAACATTAAGCAATGATAATTTTTGGGTTTGATTTATGTAAAACATCAAATTGGCTGTAAATTAAACATTGCACTTTACACAATATACAAGTTCTGCTCTGACACCAGAAAAAAAAAAAAGTTTGAAAAGTGTGGCGCTCATTTGAAATGGAAAAACTGAACTTCTGCTGGATCTCAAACTGTTTTAAACACACTTGATAGAAGAACTGAGTAGGACTTTCTTTAGCTGAGTGTCAGTCGGTGACTTTACATCTGAGCACACAAAGGATACATGTGGAGCTCCTCAAGGCTCCTCTCTTGGGCCTCTTCTGTTTAACACCCAGACAACAAGTTACCAGAACAACACAAAGTTTTACATAACCCTGACCCCATACAAGCTCTAAGCAAATGTAATGAAAAAGAAAAGTGTGGATGTGCCTTAATACTCTCTAGTTAAACTGAGACAAAACTAAGATAGTCGTTTCTGGAGTCAAAGGGCAGAAGTTAAAAGTCAGTGAGCAATTTCAGTCAGTATAAAACTGCTGACCAGGCCATAATTCTGAACGTTATCATGCGCTCAAACCTGAATTAAAAAAAAAAACTGCATCAGCTCCACAGTTGGCCCACAATCATGTGAATAGGATTAAAGAAATTGTCTGTGCAAACAAAAAAATTGCACATGCTATTAGTGGGCGTGTTGCGGGTAATCTACTATGATTACCTCTTTAGACAAGGATTTTGTGTGCGCTATCATCCGTCACCACAGAGAGTTTGTGAGAGGAGAGTGGTGTCGATGAAAAAGGAAGTTTGACGCCATGGAGTTGCATCTATCATTTTGGGAAAGCCAGCAGGTGCATAACAGGCAAGGGAAGTTGATTTGTATTGCACCATTTACACACAAGGCAATTCAAAGAGCTTCACAGATGCAAGAAAATATATCTAAAATGAAAAAAAAGAGATTCAAACAATTTAAAATCAATTAGATAAAGAGATAAATTTTTGTGACTGTTCTGTGTTTGACCTAATTATTTATCAAAACTGTCATTTACTAGAAAAACACTTTTGCACGTTTGCCTCCTTCTCCCCTCAGTAACTGCAGCCATCTGTGCGTCACACTGTGCCAGTTTGCACGTGCCTTTCAAACATGTTAAATATAGATGCAAAACAGCGACCCCAATCGGTTTCCGCGTTTGATAAATCACGTTGCAGGTGCTAAATGATTCGCATCTGCTCCTCCCAGAATTTTGTGTGGTCTGATGATCTACATACAATCTGCATATTCATGAAGGCAAACACGCTAAACGCATTGGGCGTGCTGTTTTCCCCACTTGACAGACGCAATCCTTGGTGCATCCAGTTAGTAGATCAGCTTTGCACGCTCTATCAAGTTTGTACGTGTTTTTCCACACGCAACCTTTAGTAGATCAGGCCCTATGTCTGCGCAGGACCTGTAAAAACTAGTCCACCTTGATTACTTTAACAGGGTCTTAACACGTCTTTCAGATGAATCAATCAGATGATGGCAGCTAATTGAGAACAGTCCTCACTAAGACCAAGAAAGTGGATCACAACACTCCAATTATGACTGAATCCACATCGCACGAGCGTGGCATCGAACAGCATTACGGTCTTCTAGGTTAGAGTCTAGGGAGATTTACGACGCACTGAAGGACAGGAGGGAGGAGGAGGAGGAGGAGGAGAAGGGCTCTTTTGCACTGGCTGGCATGAGAAATAAATTAGAAGTTGAAACAACGGAAAAGAAGGTCTTTCTCCCCTCTTCGCAGGATAATAAACTGAATGACACAACAGATATCAAACATGTCAAATATATTTACAGTATAGTAAGACAGTTTCATAGCCACATGTGAAAACACTGGTACATGATTATGTTAGGGGTCTCTCTGAGATACAAAGCATTTACAAAGTTTACATGTCCATTCAGTGCATATGTCAGATATTTGGGCCAGAATTCAGGAAAATCATTCCACCTTGAAAGACGGAGCGCTACCGCAGGTCATTCCTCCCTTCTGCAATAAGACTTTACAACGAACTGTAATGAAAATGGACTCACACCACTACTTTTTTCTGGTACTTAAATTGTGCATATGGTATATAGTTTTATTTAGATTTTATTTTATTTTATTTTCTTCTCCCCTTTTTCCTTTTTCTAATTTTTTTCTTAATTACAACATTTATTTAAGGTCTTAATATTACGATCTTTATTTTTATAACTGCATTTTGCACGACCTTTGTCTGTGATGCTGCTGTGGCAAAAAAAAAAATTCCCCATGAGGATCAATAAAGGAATATTCTGTTCTATTCTATTCTATTCTAAAAAAAATGGCAGTAGGAAACAGGTCAACTCTGCTCTGCCCATCATTATGCATTCATCTCATATTAATGCATGTCAATCATTTTAAGTCTTGATACCAAGGTTATGCAGGTTGCTAACTTCTAATCTTTGTGAGGAACCTCTCATAGGTACCAAGGTGATGTGAACGCCTGTCATGACAACGGTAATCTTGTAGCTACTGGACTCAACCTATGGTCATAACTGATGCTGATTAAATGAATATAATCAATCAAAAATATTCTGCAAGTCTCCAGATTACCCAAGTATTTCCCATCATTGATGACCTGAACTGTCTGGTCAGTTTTACCAATGTACTGGAACATAAAGTCACTATGAAAGTTGTTATTGTCTCAACTCTGTTCTGTAAATCATTGACAATAAAACAAGAAATCAGTCTTCACATCAATCTTGACTGAACACCTTGACTCCTCTGAATTGGGGTTCAGATCTAAACCTTGATCTATTGATTTTGTGCAGTTTCTATTGTGCCATTGTGTGACAAGAGGGGATATTGGCTCTATTTCTTGAATAATCCTTTTGTTTACATCTGTTATCATTACCTGTGTGTATCCTGGTTGTTCAGGACTCCCTTACTACAGCCTTGCAATGCGTGCAGCTCATCAAGGTGTGACTAATTCATTTAAACCAAGATAATCCATTTGGTGGTGAGTCAGATAAGTTCATTCCGCCAACAGATAATGAGGATTGTGATTATCTAATTAAACAAGCAAAAACCAATTATCTCCCAATTACTCGTGGTTAAATGGCGAGAAAAAACTCAGCGCAGTCAGTCCCTTTAGACTCAGGGGTGTTATTTTGATTAAAACATTCTTTTTTTTCTCAAATAGTTTATAAACCTCATGTTG